TTATAGTCATTTGACAGTCACAAGCTGTCAGTGCATTTCTGCATGTAGGTGCGTGTCTGTTGTAGGTATGAACAAGTGGTTGGTAAAGTTGAAATAAAGTGATTAGTTAACACACCCCACCCAGCTCTTTTCTCTAAAAATAGTGATTACACCACTCTTACTCCTGGTTAACCACTCCTGGTTCTTTGTTCCATTTTGCCAAGATACCTGTAACCAGTGCACAAAAATTAAAAACAGGCACATTAACAACTATTGTTTTAATCTGTTTGTAATAGTATAATCACGTTATAAATAATCATGACTTGAAAATGTGATGACTTTGCATGTTGGCTGATGGCACAACACATTTATAATCCTGAGTAAAGGACAGTTAAGAAGATCTGACCATTTTATAGCTGTGCAAATGATTGGCTCAATGAGTATGTGCACAAATGAAGCTGCTTTACGGTGAAAAGGCTCTTTAGTTGGAGTCAGTGTTGTGTGAAGTGCTAATGAGAAGCCTGATAAACTCATCGTTGTTGTTTTTGGTTATCCCACTCGATGCAGGACAATACAAGACAGAGAGTTGCTCTGTCCTCAGCATTCATTAAGACCCAGATCCACTGACCTGTGCTGTGCTGTGCTCTCACAGTAATACTCTCTCTCATGGGACAGGTTACCAGAGCCAGTGTGGACTGTAGACACATCCCATCCAGAGCTCTTGAATAATATCCCCTTATTTTCTCATAAATACTGTATTTGCCTAAATTCTCCAAAAATATCCCTTTATAGTGTATGTTCCCCATCTGTAACTGATTTGAACATTGTGGAATACAAGGACTTGTAACTGTAGGATCACTTCCAAAACTTCTCCAAGTCCCCCATTGCTCTGACCCCTTGATACAAAGCTGTACTTTGTGTTTACAAAAGCCTAAAGGAATCTTGCTGAAATCCGGAGCTCTACTTTCTGTTACTGTGTTGTAACAATCTGAGAGTAAACAACATCATTCCCTCTTAGCGTTTTGCATTAGTCATATGGCTCATTTCTCATTCCTTTGCCACAAAGTGATTATGTATGACAGTTATCATCTGAGA